TAATGTTGCCTCTGGTATTTATTTAATCAGTCTCATTTCAATATAAAATAGAATAACATACACACACATACATAAACTTTCTATCTGCTTTGCATCCAGTACATAAAGGCAGCACCAGCCTCTCTTTTCTCTGACATTGTCTCTAGCAGGTATAGATTTGCCCAAATCTATTCACTTTCTCTGTGTGGTTCTTTCTTTTGCTGATAATCTTGCTTCTTGTTGAAGGAATTCAAAATACTCTTTTCAGAGCTTAGCTAGCTGGAAGCAGGTCTGCTAACATTAGGTTACTGCACACGTCCCCATAAACTGGTCATAATATGCTACTTATCAAAATGGAAGGCAATTGATCAGGCAGGATCCTCGCTCAGCTGGCACCAGGCAGATAATAATTTGAGTTTCTGAAAGTGGTATGACCGTGCCCTGGAGGGCTGAGGCAGAATAGTGAGATGGAGGAAGGGAATCAAGGTGTTTTCAGACAATCAGTTTAAGTCCAAGAAAAGTCAGGCAGTCAAACAGAATCTCCTAGGGTTTTCAAGTTTTCTCTCTTCTGGGAGAGAAATGAAACCCCTTGGCAATGTCATTGATTTCCAATCCATTTATTTATGTGAACAGGTCAGACTTCATCAACAGGGCCATAAACTAGGGCATGTGAAGTGCAATGAACCTGGGTATATACCAGTTTATATCAATCCATTTTTCAAACAGTGTGTTTAGGAAAGCAGTCAAAATTAACAAGAGCCCCATGATTGTCTATTGAAACATAAACAATTACTAGACTTGCAAGACTTTAAAGACTAAGACAAAATTGGTTATGTCACAAGATTTCATGGACTGGAATCTATTTAATGATGCAGTTATAAGCATCTAAAGAAGAGAACTTTAATCCATGGAAGCTTATGGGATAATAAACATGACACTTTTTATTATTTTTGCCCTCTGTATTAAGGCTGCATCTACTCTGTAGAATCAATGCAATTCTACACTGCTTTAACTGTCATAGCTTAGTGCTATGGGATTGTGAGAGTTGTCTTTTGATGAGGCACCTGCATACTTTGGCAGAAAAAGTCAAAGGCCTTGTGAAATGACAACTGCTAGGATTTCATAGCACTGAGCCACAGCAGTGAAAGAGGGGTCAATGTGCATTAATTCTTCAGAGCAGATGCAGCCTAAATGGTGCAAATTAGACTGCACCTGTGTGTGTGTGTGTGTCCAGAGAAGTTATTAGTTTAGTTTGCTTGGATATGAAAAGCTTTGTTTTGCAAAGGCTGCACACCATTTTGTTAAAAAGAAGAATGCCAAAAGAAGGAGAAGATGTGCATATTCTAAGAAAATCTAGCTTTTATTTATTGAGTTAGAATCTCTAAAGCCTGCACCATAAGAAAAGTTTAAACAAAGAACACCATAACACCATAACACCATAACAACAACAACAACAACAACCTCCAGAATGAAGACATGTTTTAAGAAAGCCTAGTGTTTATTTATTGAATTAGCTTATGCAAAGACTGCCCCATAAAGGAAGATTAAAAGAATACCATAACAACAACGACATGCTTCATAAGGAAAGAACAGTATAAGAAAACCCAGCATTGACTTAGCTTATGTATTGTCTGCCCTGTAACAAAAGTTTAAAAGAATGCCAGAGGAGGAGGAGGAGGAGGAGGAGGAAGCCCTGAGTCCCCTCGGGGAGATAGGGTGGAATATAAATAAAGTATTATTAAATAAAGAATTATTAAGAAGCTTCAGAAGGAAGGAATACTCTAAGAAAACCTAGTATTTCTTTATTGTCTAAGAGGTATTGTTCTATTATCCCGCGGAGGCCAAAATAGGGTGCTAGACAGAGAAGGATAGTCCATTTTATTTGGGGGGGGGGGGCGGGATGGAAGGAGGAAAACAATTTTCCCAATTTTTTGCTGGTTATTCCCCCTCCCCCTCTCCCATATCATAAACAAGAGTTTACGGCATCATGGGTGGGGGGAATAACAGGAAAACAGGGGAAGTGGTTTTACTCCCTCAAACCCCGCTCTGCTCCCCCAGAAAAGACTATCCTTCTCTGTCTAGTACCCCCTTGTGGCCTCCGCCCGGATAATGGGTCTTAGCTTATCTAGAACTTGCCCTATGACAAAAGTTGAAAACAAGTACATCAAAACAATCATAATAAATTTCGGAAAGAATGCAAATTCTAAGAAAGACTAGTATTTCCTTATTGACAGCTTATCTAGAGCCTGTGGGGCCCCTGGTGGTGCAATGTGTTAAATGCTTGTGCTGGCAGGACTGCTGACCTGTCGAATCTGAGGAGAGTGGGTTGAGCTCCCTCTGTCAGCTCCAGCTCCCCATGTGGGGGCATGAGAGAAGCCTCCCACAAGGATAGTAAAACGTCAAACATCCGGGTATCCCCTGGGCAACGTCCTTGCAGACAGAATTCTCTCAGACCAGAAGTGACTTGCAGTTTCTCAAGTCAATCCTGACATGAAAAAAAAAATCTAGAACCTGCCCCATAACAAAAGTTTAAAATAATACGAGGAGGAGGAAGATGGAACAGTCTAAGAAAGACTAGTATTTCTTTAATAATAATAATAATCATCATCATCATCATCATCATCTTTATCTTTGAAGGCTTTCATGTCTGGAATCACTGGATTGTTGTAGGTTTTTCGGGCTATATGGCCATGTTCTAAAGGCATTCTCTCCTGACGTTTCACCTGCATCTATGGCAAGCATCCTCAGAGGTTGTTAGGTCAGATCTTACAAGCTCTGAAGAAGCTTGCCATAGATGCAGGTGAAACATCAGGAGAGAATGCCTCTAGAACAGTGGTTTTCAAACTGGGGTCCCCAGATGTTTTTGGCCTACAACTCCCAGAAATCCCAGCCAGTATACCAGCTGTTAGGATTTCTGGGAGTTGAAGGCCAAAAGAGGAGGAGGTTGAGAACCACTGCTCTAGAACATGGCCATATAGCCCAAAAAACCTACAACAACCCAATAATAAACTTTATTTATACCTCGCCACCGTCTCCCCGAAGGGGACTCGGGGTGGCTAACACAAGGCCAAGCCCAAAGATACAATACAGCAAAATAAAATACAAAATGCAGGCAACAAAATTTCATCAGAACAAAATACATAAAAGTAGCAAAATAAAATAAACAAAGGAGATTGACATATATAAAATCAGATATAATGGGCAGGCCAAATAGAGGAAGTAAAATGATAAAACCCTGGTTGAGGTAGGAATAGAAAAAACGTCATTGAGAGGAGCCCAAAAAGGATGAACAGTGGGGTTAGGCTTTCAGTTTAATAATAATAATAATACTAATAACTTTGTTTTTATCCCTCCCCATCTCCTTAAGGGGACTCAGAGCAGCTTATAGGTGATGTAGTGGGTTAAACCCATGTGCCAGCAGGACTGAAGACCGACAGGTCAGAGGTTCGAATCCAGAAAGAGCATGGATGAGCTCCCTCTACAGTGGTTCTCAACCTGGGGTCCCCAGATGTTTTTGGCCTACAACTCCCAGAAATCCTAACAAGCTGGTAAACTGGCTGGGATTTCTGGGAGTTGTAGGCCCAAAACATCTGGGGACCCCAAGTTGAGAACCACTGCATCAGCTCCAGCTCCCCATTGCAGGGACATGAGAGAAGCCTCCCACAAGGATGGTAAAACATCAAAACATCGGGGCGTCCTGTGGGCAACGTCCTTGCAGACGGCCAATTCTCTGACACCAGAAGCGACTTGCAGTTTCTCAAGTCACTCCTGACACGACAAAAAAGAGCAGTGTAAATAACACAACGATAATGAAAATAAAACAATGATCATAAAACAACAAATCAAGAACCAATTTAAGTAGAATCAACACAAGTGAAAAGTAAACATATTAAATTTTTAAAAATCAGACATAGCTACATAAAATAAGTAAGACATCACCACTGTTCAGGTAAATGAGACCAAGGTCCAGTCTAAAAAGTGTAGTCCAGTTATTAAAAGTATGGGGAAACTTTGGCCCTCCCTCCAGGGGGTTTGGACTCCAACTCCCACCATTCCTAACAGCCTCAGGCCCTTTCCTTTCCCCCCTCAGCGCTTAAGCGGCTGAGGGGGGAAAGGAAGGGGCCTGAGGCTGTTAGGAATGGTGGGAGTTGGAGTCCAAAATCCCTGGAGGGAGGGCCAAAGTTTCCCCATATCTGAGTTAGGTTATCAGGTAGTCCAATGAGGTTATTTATGGACGTAGCTTGTCTAGATCCTGACCCATCACAAGAGCTTCCAAGGCCACCAAACAAGCAATAATAAGGGATGGTGCCTTAAAAGAAACTCCCAAATCCTTTAGGAAAGAACTTCGGAGGGCAGATCCACCCAGAACCTGGCTGAAACCCCGTCTTCCCGAATCAGGCGGCGGCGCGCAGGTTCCAACTTGGATGCCCGGGAGGAGGCGAGGCGCTCCGAGCCCTGCCACCCCTTTCTTCCCGCAGGTGGTCTGGTCGGAACGGCGCACACCGCCTGTCAAAAGCGGGGACGGGGGCGGAACTAAAGCAAGGAAAGGCGGGGGGGGGGGGTTGTGTTGGTCTCCTCTCCCCGAAGAGAGTTTGGAAGGTAAGCGCTTGCGAGCCAGCCAGCCAGCCAGCCGCCCTGCCGCAATTTCCCTGTGTCATGGCTCCGGTCTCCTAGCAACCGCAGCGAGTCCAGCCAGCAGCAGCGAAGGCTTGTGCGCCCAGAGCCATTCAGGGGCAGAAGAAGCAGCAGCAGGAGGAGAAGCAGCAGCAGCAGCAGCGCGGCAGAGAAGAAGCATCCCGCCACAATCGCCGAGGAAAGCGGCAGCAGAGGGGATCGAGCACCTCTCTCCTGGCCCGGAGCGAAAGGATGCCGAGTTGGGGCGCCGCCGCGTTGAGGGGAAAGCCCTCCTCTTTCTCCTCCTGGGCTCCATGGATCCTACAGCCGCCCCGAGCCGGGCCATCGCTGCTGCCGCTGCTCTTGCTCTAAAAGGGATTTCTTCAGGGTGGTTTCTCCTCCGCCTCGGCTGAAGCTGGCTGCAAAGTTTCTCCATGGTTTCTTTCCGGGCTCCCAGGAACTTCCCTGCGGCTGTGAGGTCCTCCGATTTCCCCTGGTAAGGCATCAGAAGGCGCTTCCCCAAAGCTGCCATTTTGAACCCGGCGGAGCCTCCTTCTCGGGAGGTTTCTACGCAGAGGAGGGATGGCCATCTGTCAGGAGTGCTTTGATTGTGCATCCCTGGAGGGGGTTGGACTGGATGGCCCTTGCGGGGTGCCTGTCTTCCACCTCGATTATTCTAATCCTTGCTGCAAAAGGATGAGATTGCAAGGATGGCGATCTGTCAGGAGTGCTTTGATTGTGTATCCCTGTGTGGCAGGAGCAGGTTGGACTTGGGGGTGTCTTCCACCTCTATGATTCTAATCCTTGCTGCAAAGTGATGAGGTCGTAAGGATGGCCATCTGTCAGGAGTGCTTTGATTGTGTATCCCTGTGTGGCAGGAGGGGGTTGGACTTGGGGGGTGTCTTACACCTCAATGATTCTAATCCTTGTTGCAAAAGGATGAGGTTGCAAGGATGGCCATCTGTCAGGAGTGCTTTGATTGTGTATCCCTGCGTGGCAGGAGCAGGTTGGACTTGGGGGGTGTCTTTCACCTCTATTATTCTAATCCTTGCTGCAAAGGGATGGGGTTGCAAGGATGGCCATCTGCCAGGAGTGCTTTGATTGTGTATCCCTGCGTGGCAAAAGCAGGTTGGACTTGGGGGGTGTCTTCCACCCCTAGGATTCTAATCCTTGCTGCAAAGGGATGGGGTTGCAAGGATGGCCATCTGCCAGGAGTGCTTTGATTGTGTATTCCTGCATGGCAGAGGGGGTTGGACTTGGGGGGTGTCTTCCACCTCTAGGATTCTAATCCTTGCTGCAAAGGGATGGGGTTGCAGGGCATGCATCCATTCCCATTGTCCTTTGTCGCAGCAAAAAAGGGGTTGGGATCAAAAAAAGAAAAGATGGAGAAGAAGAGAAGAAAGAACCCAGAATCTCCTGAAGGTTATCAAATAAAGGATGACTGAATGGGGGAGGAGAGGTTGCAAGTCTCCCTCTGATGGATGTCTTTGGCTGCCTCTATGCAATTACATTAATGTAGTTTGACAGCACTTTAACTACCAGGGCTCAGTGCTGGGGAATTATGAGGGTAGTAAACACAAGGTCTTTTCCCCTTCTCACCAAACTACAACCCTAAGGTTTCACAGCATTGAGCCATAGCTGTTTAAAGTGGTGTCAGACAGACTGCATTCATTGGGCAGGAGAGATGCACCTTTCCAAAGAGCGAGTTTGGCTTGGGAAAAGTTGGACAGTGCGGCAGTGCCAGCCCTGGCACTGCTCTCCTCTTCTGGCCAGCCTCAGTCCTTTGGTCTCCTGCCAGGCACAGGCTGTGCCCATCAGGCAGGGCTCGTGCCAGCCGCATCTGCCCTGAACTCTCCCCAATATCACCAGCCCCTCATGGCAGGATCTTTGGGACCGTATGGCACTGCAATGCCTCTGGGCATTGCCAGGATGCCTTAAACTCTCATGTGGCTAATTCCTTTTCAAGCAGAGGTGGATCTCTCACACATCTTCTGCACACTTAACTTCAAATAACAGAGGAAAAAACTAGGAAGCAAGTGTCCTCGGGTGCATCTACACCAGACATGGGCCAACTTGGGCCCTCCAGGTGTTTTGGACTTGGAAATGGAAGGGGCCTGAAGCTGTTTGGAATGGTGGGAGCTGAAGTCCAAAAAACCTGGAGGGCCCAAGTTTGCCCAGGTATGATCTACACTGTAGAATGAATGCAGTTTGACATTCTAATAGCTACCAAGGCTTAATGTTATGGAATCACGGCATTTGTAGTTTCCTGAGGCAACAGCTCTCTTTGGCAGAAAAGGTGAAATGCTTTGCAAAACTACATCTTCCAGGATGTCATAGCATCAAGCCATGGCAGTTAAAGTGGTGTCAGACTGCATTAATATTAACCTCAACAACAACAACAACAACACAGTCCTAGACACTTGGGAAGTGTCCGACGTGTGATGAAATACAAAAGCCACCATAGTGATTTTGTTTGCTGTGTACCTATCTTGTTGTGCATCCAATAATAATAATAATAATAATAATAATAATAATAATAATAATAATAATAATAATATGAAATCCAGCATATATATCTCGTTTGCTGTGCCATACTGTGTATGGTGTTAGAATAATAATAATAATAATAATAATAATAATAATAATAATAATACACTTTATTTGTACCCTGCCCCACCCCCCAAGGGACTCGGGGCAGCTACAACCTGAATAAATACAGTAAAATACATAAAAAATAAAATAACAAATAGAAAATAAAAATAAAATAATAGAAAAGCAAACAAGATAAGTCAAAACACGAGTAACAAATATTAGCAATAAAAATTATAAATACATGTAGATGTACCCCTAATCATAGTTTCTGTTATTACGCTTTTGCCTAGAATGGAAAACATTATTTAAGCAATTTCTGGACTTTTTTTTCTTTTTGTGTTTCCTTCAAATTGTGATCTTTTCAAAATGAGGGAGTATTTCCTTGTTCAGAGAGGACTAGCTTTGGACTGCGGTGAGTTTTCCAGGCTGTATGACCATGTTCCAGAAGCATTCTCTCCTAACATTTCACCCACATCTCTGGCAGGCATCCTCAGAGGTTGAGGGGTCTGTTGGAAACTAGGCAAGTGGAGTTTATATATCTGTGGAATAATGTCCAAGGTGGGAGAAAGAGCTCTGCTAGAGGCAAGTGTGAATGTTGCAATTGGCTGTCTTGATTAGAAAGGAAGGAATAGCTTCTTCTTCTTTTTTTTAAGGAACTCACCACTGGCTCCTGTTTGTTTTTTCTCCTATGCACCACCGTTGTCCTGGTCAAGCTATTGGCATATATTTCCCCATCTTAGTTAATACAGATCCTTGCCTATTGGTGTCCTAGGGTGAAATGTAATTACAACAAAAGCGTGATTAAAACTAATCAACATCTCTTGAATTAATCCTTCAACAACAACCATGTTTGAAAAAGGAAGTCCAAGTCCAGTGGCTGAATTTCTTTCAGCACAATGTAAGAACCAAGGACATTTCTGCAGGAAACACACAGAATTTAAACAAATCAGAGAATTGCTGAATCCAAGGATATTTGGGAAATGGCGTGATTTAGCTGATGAGAGGAATAAGATTAACCAGGATGCTGACTTAACCAGATTTCAGGGCAAAGGAATTAACTTTATGCTGCATGTCGAACTGATTGCTTTTCTCTTTCTGTCTTATAATCTATTTCAGACACTCTAGGAGAGTAATGAACGACTGTTCGTCATTCCTTTTTTTTTCAGACTGTTCTAAACAGTTGGCAAGGAATTGTTGAACATTCAGTTGTAGCCTCATTACTTGAATACACAGATTATGAACCTTGTGATGTAAATAAAACCTTGTAGATTATTTCAGGCTCCCTTTGTCAACACGGACAGCACAGTCTATTCCCCCAGTGATTCAAAGTAGTGCTATCCAACCTTTTCTTCTTTTTCTAAGAAATGCCAGGTTTAGCAGAGTAGCATTCTGTTCCCATTACATTCTCACATTGAGGGACTCGTGTTACATAACCAGTTACCTTGAACATCATACATGATTCCAAATCAGGCATATGTCCGGAGGATAAGCCCACATCCGAAGCATGCAGGACGGGTTGTCTGCAGAAAGATGAAAAAGGGGAATGTTTCAAGGGAAGTAATATCTAACGATGTTAGAATGTGTTTATTTCTTGGTGCATGGGTTGCAGTAAATGAAAAACTCTAGGTTTAAATTCCCAACCTCGTCAGGGGGGGTTGGCATATGTGTTCATATACAAATATATACCAGTAGTTTCAGCAAAAACAGTGAATTAAGCCTTTTAAAATTTAATTTCCATCATTTTCCTTAAAAAATGCCTTTTTTAATTTTCCATAACAGATCACCTTTCATAAGCCCCTGGGTAAAGGAACCTTTTGGCCTCATTCTGAGAAAATGGCCTGAGGCTAGAAAACAGTGTAGCAGTTTCTGTAACAAAAACAGGAAGCTATGCATGTATTTAGAATGAAACTATGGGCCCTTCTACACTGCCATATAATCCAGATTATCAAATCAGACAATCCACATAATCTGCTTTATACTGGATTATATGTCTCTACGCTGCCATATAATCCAGTTCAAAGCAGATAACCTGGATTTTATATGGCAGTGTAGAGGGGGCCAGTATTGATTATTAAACTGAGGCAATCTCTCAAGATATGAGTAAAACCTCATCACACACACACACTCCCCCCAAATAGACCCCAACTAAAACCAGGCAATAGTGTCACATCTTCATTGTAAAACAGAAGGAGCTGAACACATTGTGACTTAAGGAACTTTGAAGAAAGGATATGTTGTCTCTCTAAACCGATGTTTCTCAACCTGGGGATCAGGGAAACAGTATTTTCCATTTGCCATGGGGGTTCTGTGTGGGAAATTTGGACCAATTCAATTGTGGTGATGGTAGGTGATGGTAGGTGAACTATGAATCCCAGCAACTACAACTCCCAAATGTCAAGGTCTATTTTCACCAAACTTCACCACATTTGGGCATATTGAGAATTTGTGCCAAGTTTGGTCCAAATCCAGCATTGTTTGAGTCCACAGTGCTCTCTGGATGTAAGTGAACTACAACTCCAAATCTCAAGGTCAATGCCCATCAAACCCTTCCAGTATTTTCTGTTAGTCATGGGAGTTCTGCGTGCCAAGTTTGGTTCAATTCCATAATTGGTGTTCAGAATGCCCTTTGATTGTAGGTGAACTGTAAATCCCAGCAACTACAACTCCCGACTGAAAAATACCCCCCCCCCCAGCCCATCAGTATTCAAATTTGGATGTATCAGGCATTTGTGCCAAATTTGGTCCAGTGAAAGAAAATACATCCTACATATCAGATATTTACCTTACAATTCATAACAATAGCAAAATTACAGTTATGAAATAGCAACTAAAATAAATTTATGGTTGGGGGGGTCACCACAACATGAGGAACTGTATTAAGGAGTCACTGCATTAGGAAGGTTG